CTTTTGTTCATGATCGAAGCGTTGTGGTTGATAGGATTTTATTACCGAGCATATTTTTAATGTCTAAATCAACCAACCCGATCGAAACTTGACTGGATTGGATTCAAACACATGAATGAATTGAATTGGTTTGATTTTAGATCAAACCGATCATACTGAGTTGGATTTGGATTGAATAAAAAATCGACTCAACCCCACTCACACCCACCACTACATGTAACCTATTGAGGAAACCTAACAAAAGCAGGCATTTCCTTAACTAGCGTACTTTATCATTCCATCCTGGCTACGTCTTGGATTGGGCCATTAATATCCTTAACATGGTTAAAGTTAGAAATCCTCATCAACAAAAATCACTTTTGAGTTCATATAGTCTCGAAAAATATTTCGTATTGCATGTTTGGTAAGCATATTCGATTATATATTACTAGACAACACAAATTACAAGATATTTTAATTCTTTTATGTACTTAATAGTAGATTCATTAACATATATGACATTTTAAGCCCCCCCCCCCCCCCCCCCCTCTTTTGTTTGAAAATAATGTTTTTTTAAATAATAAATTTGAATTATGCTAGATATATACTTTAGTGCACAACCTCAATGACATTTCCCTTTATATAAAGGGAATCTGTCCAATGATGTGATATGTATTTTCAAAATCAATTATGTAAATCATGCCACATGATATAGAGTGTAAAACAATGTGTAAATTAAAATGTACATGTAGTGTGGTTTAGTAAATTTCGGAAGAATATTTGGTTAAAAAGTAAAGAAAAGTTGAGTCGTGCTATATACGCTCCCCTCATAATGGGGGGGGGGGGGGGGGGGCTTTTTTTTTTTTTTTTTTTTTTTTTAACATAATTGCGCATTTTTTTATTGGGCACGGCCACCCCCCTCAAGAGGGGGTGGCCGCCCTGTTCCCCCTCTTGTGAGGAGCGTGTAAACGCCCGTGTACAAATAACAAATTTTAGAAAAGTTTTAGTTTACATGAAAAATAATTTATTATGAGAATATATGATTGAAAATGAGTATAAAAAAAAAGAATGAGAAGGAATGATTGTCAAATAAGGACTAACATGTGGCACGAGTATGCTTTTTGAGTCAGCTTGAGCAAAGGGAGGAAAGCCATTTCTCGCTCCAGTGGAATTGGTGGTGCAGAATTCAACCTTTTTAAACGTTTGCCATAAAAATATTTTCTTCTTTTCATGGAGGACCCCACCAATTCGTACATTGAATTTTCAAAAGAGTTATTTAGAAGTGGTTTTGGAGGATTAGAAGAAAAATATACATTCTTGTGATACTCTGATCATATGCATTTTCATCATTCTATCTTGAAATCCTAATTTTCAGAATTCTCTAAAGTATTCTTGTTCTTTAAATGAGTTATATATTGAACCATGCTACCTTAATAAGGAGGGTTTGACACTTTTTTTGATCGACACTCACAATGGAGGGTGGGTCCCACTTTTTTTTTCCCATTTTTTATTCACGTGAATTCTACGCATGTGAGTGAATGTCAACTAAGTAGGCGAACATTTTTTGGCATAAGAGTTTAATCCTTATATATATTTGATTTGTATAAAATCACAAAACTCACTGAAGGCTCCTCGTATCCTAGAAGTTATTTGGTAGGGAAGCTCGTAAGCAATCTTTTATCTAGAGATAACAAATATCACTTCAAACAAATTGTTCTAATAACGTGTTTATATTTAAGGATACGTAAATCACTAAAAAAAAAAAAATTTGGACCAATTATGAATTAAAAAATCATTTTATGGGTTTGCGAGACCAATAAATTCTTAATGAGAATATGAATTTAGGATTTGTCAAAATTTTATTATTTAACACAATATTCAGAGCAAGCAGTTATTATTTAATTAGATGCGTTGACTAGGATGTGATGAAATGTCAAAAGATTGCTCATGACATTATAACAAATAATTTTGGTGCATTCCCCCTTGATCTTAATTACAAGTTAAGCAAAAGCACTATTTCTTTCACAGATGTAAAACTATTTAACCACAAATTTTTATGAAAAAGTACTTTGAATTTAATTTTTTTTTGACGGTAATATTCATTAGCAATGATACTTTTTAAATCTTTTAACTTCGAATATCCTAATTCCTAAACATGTAAAAATGTGTTGGAAGGCCAAAAATATTAATGACAGGGCCAAGCATGACAAGACTCGTTGTGGACCATTTATAGGATGATCCATCTTTCTATATAGTCTAGCCATACCAATGGTTCCTCCTACCAAGCCTATATACTTTCAGGACGTAATACAAAAAATAGCGGCTTCAGAGATGGAATTTTTTGTTGCAAGCAGTTTTCACCGACAAAAGGTAACGAAAAATTCTGTCTCTGAAACCGCTATTTTTAGTAGTTATGCCCGACATGTATTAAGCCTATATAAATGGTTTATGGGATGATCCATCTTTTTATATAGCCTAGCCATACCAATGGTTCCTCCTACCAAGCCTATATAATAGCGGCTTCAGAGATGGAATTTTCCGTTGCAAACAGGTTTCACCGACAAAATGTAACGAAAAATTCTGTATCTAAAACCGCTATTTTTAGTAGTTATGCCCGACATGTATTAAGCCTATATAAATGGTTTATGTGATGATCCATTTTTTTATAGCCTAGCCATACAAATGGTTCCTCCTACCAAGCCTATATACTTTCAGGACGTAATACTAAAAACAGTGGCTTCAAAGACGGAATTTTCCATTGCTAACAGCTTTTACCGACGAAAGGTAACGAAAAATTCCGTCTTTGAAGCCGCTATTTTTAGTAGTTATGCCCTACATGTATTAACTAGATGACGCGTAGAAAGAGTTTATCCGAGCTAGCCTACAAATTATCCACTTAAACTCGACGATCTACCACACAACCCCACTAGTCCTGGTTTACTTTTTATTGTTGGAAACACTGTTGGAGTTCTAGTTTCCTTCTTTATCCTCCACGAGAATACCTTTGTGGATCTTAAGAATGAAGACATCGGAGGTTCTAAAACAAAACTTCTTTAGAATCACTTGCGAATCTTAAAAACAAACAGTATAAATTTTAACTATCCATTTTTATTCCGGCAAGAATAATCTAACTTATGATCTTGTTTGAAAATCCAATTTTCCGGGACAAAAAGAAATAATTTTGGCCTAGATATTGCATGAGTAAACAAAAAGAAAAAAAAAAACAACTAAGACAATGACACTAACGTCTTATCATTCCTACGTATTCTACCTCTTATTCACTTACCAAACAATATTATTCTTTGATCCATTTCACTTAGTTTTTATCTTTGTATCGCCGACCAAAATTTGGGAGACAAAGAAATGATAAACAAGTTACACACGCTTTCTTTGTCTTCTTTGTCAAAAGGGTTATCATAAATTCATTACAAATTCATTAAAAATCATTGTACTTATATAGTTTTATTATTTGCCACTAGCCTTCTTTAAGCTCTTTTTATCTTTTACTGATTTTTTAATTAATCGTGATGCGTGTAATGATTATCATTAAGAGTATGATTGTGATTAATGTGACCACATTTGACATCGTTAACTCAGATATTTTATACTCCCTCCGTCCCAGTTATATAGACCTGTTTCGTGTTCCACACGAATTAAAAAATCTTCTTTAATGTCATTAAAAAATTAATTTTTGCCAAAATCTTTTCTAGTTTATCCCTATTAAATTTTCAGTATGTAGTAGTAAATTATTGTTGGAATTAGTAAAGAATTTGAATAATTTAATTTGAAGAAGAAGAAATGAGAGTTGTTCCATATTTCCAAAAAGTTGAAAATATGTATATTTGGATGATTTCAAGAAATTGACATATTAAGTGGAGAAAATTGAATGAAAATATATTGATAAAAGAACAAAACAAAATATTCTAAATAGGAGTAAACTAGGAAAGATCTTAGCAAAAATTCATTTTCCAATCACATTAAAAAAGATTTCTTAATCCGTGTGAAAAACGAAACAAGTCTATATAATTGAAACGAAGGATATATCAATTTTTTTCTTTGATTTTCAGGATAAAGATTAACTAATTAAATAGGAGTAAACTAAGAAAGATCTTAACAAAAATTCATTTTCCAATGACATTAAAAAAGATTTCTTAATCCGCGTGAAAAACGAAACAAGTCTATATAATTGAAACGAAGGATATATCAATTTTTTTCTTTGATTTTCAGGATAAAGATTAACTAATTAATGGCTTGTCATGCTAACCACTGGTTGACAGTTTGTCAAATAAAAGCAAACAAATATAATTTTATGTTTGAAAACTTTTTCCAACAATAGTGAACTTTTGGAGGAATAACTAATTTTTTATTTCATATGGCCAATTTAGTGGAAATCTGAAGTTGGATACCTGAAAACTTTTCAATAGCTAGTTGATCATGTGGTTGAAATTCTTACCACAAGAACAGAAAATATTACGTACTATTAGACAAGACAAGGCCTAAATAATCTCGTAAAATTTATATTGAACGTATTGTAAGTTACACATCGTCACATAAAATTTTTGAAAAATGAAAATGTTATATCGGAAATAAGGCTGATACGTGACTTAGAAATATGGATAAGAAGGACAGCGTTTTCTTTTATCAAGTGGCCTCATTTGCTTATACAGTATTAATTTATAAGGGAAAGGCCAAATATAATATTTACAGCCATTTAGTGGAGTTGCTCCTTTCTTTACCGTGAAGGAACTGAGAAAGCGTATGTGGTGGGGGAATGGGGTCTACCAAAAGTGCCTATGAGAGGAAGACAATGAGGAGACCAAGTCGTTCAAACTTAGACGACGATATATGCTTTATACGTTCAACTAGATAATACTAAACAAAATTAAAGGAAAAAAGTATTAATTATCTATATAGTCTATTACACGCAATAGATATGCCGTCTAGGCCATCGTCATTATTAAGAAGGCAAGGAACCCGAAACCTTCGACTTTGAAAAAAAAAAAAATAATAATAATAATAATACAATGGAAGGAATTCACATCTATATATCTCTACCTTGATATCTATTACATTTCCCCTTCTCCCCTTTGTTAGTTAGGAACTTCGGAACCAAAAGGACTTGCTCTTGCTCTCGAAGTTCTCTTCCCCTTTCTCTCTAGAAACAAAAAACTATTCTTTCTCAGTGCCAGCCATGGGAACGCTTCTAAGCAAAATTGGCATATCAAATGTTATTCTTGGATTCTTTCTCTTTTTATCAGGTATATACTCTCCCTCTGATCTTAAATATGTTCTTGATTAGCTCTTTAAATTTAATTAAACAGTTCATTGTGGATTGAACAGGTCTTGGTTTTCCTGAAGAAGTGGAATCACTCGGCATTAATTATGGTCAAGTTGGCAATAATTTACCACCTCCTCATGAAGTACTTAATCTCTTACAATCGTTCAAGCTAACAAAAGCCCGAATTTACGACACAAATCCTCAAGTTTTGACAGCATTTGCCAATTCCAATATTGAACTAATTGTGACAGTAGATAACCAGATGCTCTCTACATTGATGGATCCACAACAAGCCCTTCAGTGGGTAGGCACCCATATTAGACCCTATTTTCCAGCCACGAAAATTACCGGAATCGCAGTTGGGAACGAGATTTTAACCGGGGACGACGCAACACTTATGACTTATCTTGTACCAGCCATGGTGAGCATTAATGCAGCCCTAGTAAAATTAGGGTTAGATCAATATATTCATGTTTCGACTCCCAATTCTTTAGCAGTGCTTGAAGTATCATATCCACCTTCAGAAGGAAGTTTTCGAAGCGAGATCAGTGAAATAATGCCTCAGTTTCTGCAGTTTTTGGCAACTACAAAGGCACCTTTTTGGATCAATGCATATCCTTATTTTGCTTATAAAGATGATCCCAATAGTGTTTCTTTAGATTATGTTCTTTTCAACCCTAATTCAGGAATGATTGATCCTAGCACGAAGTTACATTATGACAACATGTTATATGCACAAGTAGATGCTGTAATATTTGCCATGGCTAAAATGGGTTACGAAGGGATCGAAGTGATGGTATCAGAAACGGGTTGGCCGTCAAAAGGTGATCCGGATGAAACCGGTGCAACTGCTGAGAATGCAGCAATATATAATCGGAATTTGTTGAGAAGGCAACTGGAAAATGAAGGGACTCCATTAAGGCCAAACAAGAGACTAGAAATTTATGTGTTTGCTTTGTTTAATGAGGATATGAAGCCCGGTCCGACTTCGGAGAGGAATTATGGTCTACTCCAACCAGATGGAACTATGGCGTACAATGTCGGCCTCTCTCCATTGTCTTCTTCATCAGGCTCAGCTTCTATTTCGCTAACTTCGAATGCCACCCAGGTAAAGCCATAGTTCTTCTTTTTGTATTTGTATAATTCCAAAAATATCAAATACTGCATACTAAATATGTCCTTATGGAATAATGCTACTTGTACATAAACAATTATATAATGATTTACATACAGATAAGATGTCAAAAAGAAAATGGGAAGTTTTGTTTAATAAAATTTTGATCATATCTTACCGGATCATGTATATGTAGACTATTATGTACATTTATCGCAATCGATGATTCTGTTTCCAACATTTTTATCATTTTTTTAATTGAGAAACGAAACGAAGTATACATTTCTTTAATTTTCCTTGTTTCGTGTAATTATGAAACAGGTACAAAGAGGTCACCAAAGTTTGCTGTTTCCAGCATTTCTATATCTACTACTCTTCCAAGTTTTTATGAGAAGACAGAGATAGGCAATATTTTGGCACTTCATAAATGTCATATTGTTAGTGATGTAACGCCGGCCATTTTATTATACTCCCGGTAGATGTTGATACATCGTATTAGATAGGAATTTCCTTTTTTTTTAGTATCGTCCATTTGTATTTGATCTTCATTTGTATAAAAGATATATTTTATTCGAAAATTAGTGTCCATCTTTCCTTTTCCCTTTTGACTACGTGCACTAATTATTCAAATAAGAGGCTCCAAACAATAAAGTTCACTACTTTTGGACGTGGATTCCATAAATATTCTTGCATATGAAATTCAATTCTTATTAGCTGCTTTCGTACTAGCAAGACATGGTCTCCCCCTTTGCACATAATATAATATATCTGCACAAAAAGGTTCAGTTAAGATAAAATTAAAGATGGTGTCAGCCAATTCGCAAAAGGTTACACTTTTTTTGGTTCCACTTTATTGCTTTGCCATAACCGTCAGCCATATATTCACCTCCAAAAAGCACTATATTCTCTTTCAGGCCATGGAAGGAGATGCTAAAATGATAGTATGCATCTATTATTAAATTCTCTTGACCTGATAGTATCTATGAGTAGGGGTGAATACGATTCGATTTGAACGATTTCTGACAAACTTTCATGCCAAACTAGTTAAAGCGATTTGGAAAAATCAAACCACTTCAATTTCTAAATTAAACCAATTGGAACCACCTTTTCCGGTTTGAATCGGTTTAAACCACGATTTAACCAAAAAAAAAAAAAATTAACATATATCTAACAAGGTAAATTATAAATATAAGTCTAAAATTTCACGTAGAACCATAAATAATTTCATTAAAAATATTACAAACCAAAGTTCTATAATTCTAATCGTTATAATGCAACAATATGATCGAAATATTTTAACTTCTTAATCTATACTAATTGATGCAATAGTCACAATTGTAATACATGATTCATTCTCTCCATGAAGATAAAAATATAGTACATAAATTCAATGAATTATCCAATATTAGTTTTACCTTATCCAAATATTGATGAATTATTATATATATATATATATATATATATAAAACAAATGTGTGAGTTTCAATTAAAATCTCGATGTATTTGTCTACTCAATTGAAATAGACGATCGATTAACATAGTTCAGTAACAGTTGTTCAATACTTCACTCAATTTGAGAATTTTGCATTCAAAGTTGTGATGACTCATGGGTATTTGGGTATGATTTAAGTAATGATCTAGGATGGATAATTGTCTATTTATATATTAAGTTTAATTGGATTATGTCTAATATGAATGTATTTTTTTAACTGAGATGTGATTAATTTTCTATTGGGTAGGATAAAATTAAATTAATTATCTTCATTTTTTTTTTTCCAATGAACGGTCCGATGAATTGAAACGGTTTGCAAAGATTGAAAACCTAAACCATTTATCTTCGAAGCTATTTGGTCCCATTCAAAACTAAACATTGATGGATTCACATGAATCCAAACCAACGATTTTCAAAAAGCGATTTCGATTCGATTTTACGTTGTTTAGTCCTATCTATGAGGAACTTCCTAGCAAAGTCTGTTCTACACTTTAATCTTTTATGATTCTTGTTGAAGCATGTATCAATGATTGTAGGGCAAACAAATTCAAAAACACTCCATTCATTAGATGAAAAATATCACCAAGATTTCGTGACCAAGACACACATCTATGTATGACGGTGCACATGCAGCCCATTAATAGACAAATTGAAACATATTTTTGAATACTTTAGTGTAATATACGCATAATGTAACATGGTTTTCTTTCTAACCTGTAACAGAAAACATTTCTCTTGTTTCTACGTGCATGTGTTGCTATATAGATACGCCTTTAAGCAAACTTTCTTGAACAAAAGAACATGCTATGGTGATCAAATGGGACCCCATTGTGTCTTTTTGAAACACACACACGTTGGCAAAGTAGCCCTTTTTATTTTCTGAATTATATATGAAAAATTAATTAGCTAATCAATAATCTCAAATTTTTATAACTAACTAAAATCATCGATCAAGTTTGCCAAATTTCGTTAGCAGGTGTTTGGATTTGTGGTTTGGGGATGAGATTCAACACTAAAAAAAGCGACCTCGTGCTAAGAAGTTGTATTAACAAAATTCAAATGACGAAACTTTTGGATGCTATTTTCACGGTCAATAAACATCATCGACAACGTTAATTTTGTAATGAAGTTGGGTGAGTACAGACGGAAGAATCCTCCATATAACTTGGCGCGTGAAAAAATCACCCACGGAGTGGTCATACGATTTAATTAGGCCATGGACATTCTATAGGGATAACAAAATGTCTTGTCCACGTCCCGCCCCTCGTTTTGTGTTTTCCCTCCCAAAAAAGATCAGAGGGAATCGAGGCAAGCACGGTGAACATGGAACGGACCTTGATTATTATTTTCTATTACATTTACATTTTTTATAGTTAAATCTTACCATTTTTTTAAAGGTGTTAAAAATAACTAACTAAATGGGAAGGCGGGGGGGATTAGCGCAAACGTCAAACATTTATACCTTTCAATATTATTCTGCAAATATATCTAACTCTCATTTATTGAAAATTTCACCTCCACTTTTACCTTTTATTGTGAAAATCATTATTTTCATCCATTTTTATCCAATTTCTCAATAAAAAAGGTAAAATGAAAAAATGTTCCATTTAATTTAAATAAAAAAGAAAGAAAGAATCATACCCACAAACTTTTTAAAAAGTACAAATAAGTCCAAATAAATTAATAAAAGGACAATTAGCACAAAACGTCTCTACCTTTTAATATTATTGTGCTAAACGTCTATACCTTTAATTTTTTTTGACATTTTTGCCCTTATCTTTATCTTTCATTGCGGAAATCATCATTTTCATCAATTTTCTCAATTACAAGCTGTAAAATGATGAATATACCATCCTATTTAGATAAACGAAAAAAAGAAGTGAAAGAAATAAAGAATAAATTACAATTATATTTCAAAAATTTTCAAAAAAGCATAAATAATTAATTAAGCCCTTGTTTGATTCCCATTATTTTCAAAATGCATTTTTTTCTATTGTTTTCAACCACGCATTCTTCAATAAAATAATATTAGACGAAAACCCACAACTTTATTTTATTTTTTAACCACACATTTTTCATCAATCTATTATTCTAAAATGGATTCTTACAATAAAATTGCCTCAAACAGGCTCTAAAAAATCAAAATTAAAACAATAAAAATCACTTTGTTTCATTCTTTTTCTTCCACCACCACGGTTTTACTGCCTCAATCTCCTATCAAATTGGAGAATGTTCCAAATTTAGTGATATATCCTCGAGTCCATGACCTAGCCTTCCCATTTTCTTTCTTGAAAGGGGCGATTTTTACCCCTCCATGGAGCCGCCACCAATTCCCCTCAAATCTACAGTGTTGCGCTGCTAAATCCACCGGAATTTGACCCCTTCACCAACGCCAATAATCCCTCAATCCATCAAACCAAACAATTACACAAACAGCTACAAATCCGACACTAAATCAGCCCCACATATACCAAGAACCACGGTGTGGGCAGTTTGTGACCGAAATTGGATGAATTTGGTTGTTAATTGGGCAATTAAATTGACACCCACTTTTGTGTGATGTTGATGAGGATTAACATGCGGCAAATTATTTGAACCAACACCCCCAAACCCATGAATTGAAATAGGCACACTGGCCACAATTTTTGCGCACAACAAGAGGAAATTCCAAGGCATATCATCATCAAATTGTATTATTATTATTATTATTATTATTATTATTATTATTATTATTATTATTATTATTATTTGTGAGACGACCGTGGGTAACGACGAAATTGGTAAAAAAGTCGTGTGGTTCTTGGTGTATTTGGGGCTGATTTTGAGTCGAATTTGTGGCTGTTTGTGTAATTGTTTAGTTATGATGGATTGATGGAGTATTAGGTGGATGGGTGAAATTCCAGTTGTTTCGGCGGTAGCAACATGATGAATTTGGGAGGAATTGGAGACGGATCCATGGAGGGCAAAAATCGCCCTTTTGTAAAAAGAAATGGGAAGGCTAGGTCGATTCCAAGACATATCACTAAATTTAGATCGTTCTCAACTTTGATAGAAGGTTGAGGAAGCAAATGTGATGGTGGAAGAGAAAGAAAGAAGTGATTTTTGTTTTTTAATTATTTATTTGTACTTTTTTGAAATTTTTGGGAGTGTAGTTGTAATTTGTTTTTTATTTTTCATTTCTTTATTTTTTGTTTTATTTAAATAAGAGGGTATATTCATCATTTTATAACTTTTAGTTGAAAAATGGATAAAAATGATTATTTCCACTATGAAGGGTGAAGATGCCAAAAAATAAAAGGTAGAGATATTTTTCACAATAATATTGAAATGCAAAATGTTTTGTGCTAAGTACCCTATATTTTAATCCTCGTCTAACCTCACCTCATCGCCATAAAATTTTTAGTAGGGCGAGAACACGGAGTGCCACCTCGTCCCATTGCTGCACCTTCGTTAGCGCCCCTTCATATTTTGGTGCCATCCCATTACTTCATGATCACTTATTGATCCCGATTACATAATTTAAGGGGGTGTTTGATAGTCATTTTTATGTAAAAATGCATTTTAGAATAGTAAACTGATGTGAAATGTGTAGTTGAAAAATAAGGAAAAGTTTTTAATTTACGTGTAATATTATTTTAATAAAGAAAATATCGTTGAAAAGAAGAAAGAGAAAAATGCATTTTGAAAAAAATGGCTACCATACGGGGCCTAAGTTTGTTCCAACCGTCGCGTAAGCCCGATACAGAAGATAGACTGGTTTACTTGAAGAGATTCTTTTCTATGATCAGACCGAATCATGTTGTACATGAGAGCTCGGATCGAATCGGTATTGATATACCGATTCGATCCGAGCTCTTGGAATTGGAATAAGTTCGGCTCGAATGACCCCTTGAGAATGTATATAACCCTATTCCGGTCTGGTCTGGTATGGAATGAACTTATAATCAGCTCGATACCGTCAAGAATTCCTGACTATTGCATGGGAACAGGTTCATCTTTCATGGCCACATATCTTTCCGGCTAAGGAATGGAAAATCTTTGTCTTGTTACATGAAAGGAACATAGGAGTTTGTCGCTAGGTATTTGACCAAATAGGATCGTCCAGTTCCTATAGAA